TTACATTTTCCGGTGCTCATTTTTCCAGTGAAATATAAATATTTAATCTCTTCAAGAAAATAATGGCTTACGGCGGGAAATAATTATAGTATTTTTCCCGAAACTGATTTCGAACGCTCTCTGGCAAGTGAGACGAGACCGGCATGCGTTGAACGTATCTAAACCGAAAAGCCTAGTGCTTTCTCGTTCTCCTACCCGTTGCTCTCCAGATTAACGGAGAGGCCGTAGAGCAGTTGGAAAAGTTTAAGTACCTCGGAGTCGTATTTACTAGTGATGGAAAATTTGAGGAAGAGATCGACCGGCTAATTGGAGTAGCCAGTGGCGTTCTGCGTGAACCAGTCCGATCGGTTGTGACTAAAGCAGAGCTCAGTCTGAAAACTAAGCTCTCGGTGTTCAAGTTGATCTTCATCCGCTTGTTCTCCTAAGTCATGCATGAGTCGTGAACCGCGACTGAAAGACTTCGATCCTGGATATAAGCGGCTGAAATTGGCTTTCTGAAACGGGTCATTGGCCTTAAATGTCTCGACATGGGTCGGAGTACAGAAATCCGAGAAAATTCTGGTATACAGCCTCTGCTACTTCATATTGAAAAGTGAAGTCTGTTATGGTTATGGTTTGGACAAGTGTTGCGAATGTTTCTAGAAATGAAGGCTGAACGACTGCTACTCTTCCAACCGACCAACCGAACATCTCAGAAACATAAAGGGGAATTGTGTCGAATGACTCCGCTCAGATTCGGGTTATTTTCTGTCGAAGTTGTCTGACGCCTCCGTTTCCGGGACCCGAAAGGAGAAGCGGTCATCTATACTAACTGACTGACTTTGGCTGAAAGATTTTGGCTTATTTTAGGTTTCTATAAAAACTACGTAACGGTTTTTAATACCACTCAGATCGCCAACTTTTTATTAAACAGTTATGTAAATCTTTAGCCAGTACGTTAAGAACAACGTTTCAGTATCTTTCTTCAACAGTGCGTGCAAATCCTGCTGCTGTTGAGCTCGATGAAGATTCATGCCGATCCTACTGAAGGACAACGATAAAATACCGTTGCAGACGTTCTGGCAAAGTTATAGTAACCAGTAACAAAATCGTTTAAAAGCCTGAAAATCACTGACAAACCAACATCGTTTCAGTTCGTAAAGCTCCCAGACTTCAAATCACTACTGTGTTCGTTTTCGCCTGTGAATTTCGTTTTAAAAATCTCTTGCTGAGTGTGGTTAAGAAACCGTTTGAGGTTGAAGTTTTTTGCACGAATGTTATCGCATAAGGACTACGTATTTTGCATGGTAAAACTATCAAAAGTAAACATCAAAAAGAAAACAAAACAGAGACCGCGAACGGCATGGAACGGCCATCACAACATTAGAAAAAGAACCAAGATATACTACACTGAACATTGTTCACCGTGTTGCAGTCTGTGAGAACGAGTGCTTGAAGCTGGGATGAATGGTAGACATTCTGTGAAGTTCCCACCGTAAGATAACACGAGCACATCTGGATCTGATGGATACGCTGCATGACATGCTCAGACGAGGGATTTCACGAAGAGGATGAATTTGGTTATTCAGTATGTTTCTCCCCATTCTCATGCCATACGCGTCTACTGAACTGACTCGTTGTATGAAAAGCCATTGAGTCTTTAGCAAAGTTTCAGGGACTTCGTCATTTTTTAAAGTGGCGGGCCAACAGTCCTGGAAAATCATTGCGCATGTATATGTGTAAATAGGGATAATAGTGCAAAGACGAGGCTTTTGCAATAACTTTACTTGAAACACATGCGCAGTCCTCAGTCTTTTAACATTGTCCTTGACACACCACATTTCAGTCTAGCGGTGCTACGCAATATCAGATGAAAGCCTCTTAAGCTCCTAAGTATTTCACGTTCAGGGCTTGTAGCATCGGCTTGCCACGAAGGATCATTGCCGTGGTCGACAGATCGAGAAGTGCCTGCCTGGCGGTATTGCTTATTGCGCATCATGCGTTTCAACGCTGTTTTAGAGATCGATGGTTGTCCACTTAAGAATAAAATCATAATTATATAAGTTAATCTCCGTCATTAATATGGTCTGACTTCCGATTCAGTAATTTTGGGCGCAAGGCTAAGGTCATTGTTTAAAACAGTCTTCATCTTCATCTATCGCCGCTTCTCCTTTCGGGTCGGGAGGCAAACGCGTCAGGCAGTGTTTCCAACGTTCCCGATCTTGTGCCAGAGTCTGAGCTTCGGCAGAAGACAACTGGAGTCTAGAACAGACTGTCCCCTGAGCCTTCTGTCGTTCGATTTGCAAGAGACAGTTACTTATCCTTCCTTTCTGGAGTAAAGCCAGTTTGATTAAAAATTTATTTAATATATGAACACCAACTCTGTGTACGGATGTGCCAGGTTTCGATTGAATTTTCCATCCTCTTCAGAGAAGTGGTGAAACTCACTTATTCGTACCGTGTTATGCATAAGGTTCAAGAATCTAATGTGGCATGAATCATAATATGGAAAAAAAATTCAAATATGATTTCATCGCTGATTATTGGCAATGTGCTTCTCGCCGACGGAATTTCTTATTGGACCTCTAAGTAAGTGTTCTGTCGAAACGCGTTACAATTCAGTTTTTACTCGATTTGCATTAGAGCTGGTCCGAATACTTCAATATGTCATACAACAGGCTTTAATGATTTTTAAACCCATATTGACCACTGTAGTGTTTGACTTGAAACCGAAGCATGGGAATATGGTAATAGCTTTTACCCGTCAAATGCTGTCGTTACTTTTTGAATGTTGATTCCGAATCTCTCCGCCAGATATCACTTCAGAAGCAAAATTATGCATTCCCTAGCATTTTGCGGATTTTGAGATTTCGAGCTTTAATAATTTTTCTTTGCTTTGTACTTTCGACCATCAGACCAGTGTCAGTTACTAGTAGCCTAAGGCTTCGCGTGAATGTCACAGAGGTTTCACTAGAAACTGGAGTCGTGGCTTTTCTCCCGATGGAATTTTGAATGATTTGGTATTAATGCGAAGTTATAAATCTATTGTAATGAGTTTATGACAAGAGAGATTTGTTCATGATTTACCCTCAAGTAACCGATGTCTGTCGATCTTGCCTTTTTTCCGCTCCAAAATACCAAAAGTCACTTATAATTCACCACCGAAAGCCACGTTCCCGCCACCGAAGCAGCTCATCATCCAAAATACGGAAAGACTACTTTACAAAGTTTGGCCCTGTCACAAAAGACTCGTCAGTTTTAGATGCGAGGTCGTTGGGCACTTCCTAAATCCGAACTGAACTGTAAAAGATGTAGAGAAGATTGACTCGAATGCCAG